GGTTTACGGAACGACGCAAACTGAATTTTTATGTAACTGGCTGATGACGGCTAATAAGCCGGAAATGGCCATTCCTGTCTCACATGCTTTTGCCAGTGCTTCTTCTTGCTCGCTATGCGACAGCCTGTTAAGGCTCTAGATTGTGCCCTAAGGGCAATTAGACGAGCACGCTAGGTAAACTGATCTGCTAACTCCCGCCTACATAGAAGAATCTCTTTTCGGCACCATCTAGAGCCTTATACCGTAAAGTTTAGAGAAACTGCGTTGCAGGCTATTTGCACAAAAGATCTTTTATGTTTAAGGTAGGTGTGCCCCAACCAATTTGTTTTGAGATTTGCTGTGAGTGTTGTACAATATTTCAATCTAACTAACCAGCTCAGGCTGTATTTCTCTTATGAGGGTGTACGCGTCATCTGAGTTTGTGTTCACATAGACAGTAAAGGCATTTTTTAGGCAAAGGGACTGTAGTTTTTAAATGCACTTGCGAATTGTAAGTATATTTGCATTCGTCAGTTGCATTTCAAAAGAACTCCCCAGAAATTCCCTTCCAATTAACTTTTGCCTATCAAAACAGGGTAATGCCGACGCGTGAGACTCATTTTTTCAAACTGTCGACGTAAAGGCTTGTTTCCTCTCAGGTCAGAGTGTAATGATTCCATCTTCGTGGTGCGCTCGCTGTTTTCGGCACTTGGCCGAAGCGCATTACCGAACCTACCACTTTGGTAAACGCTTCACCAAGAGTGTGAACATAGGCAGATGGGGAACATGGCGACCTTTATAACGACATTACGAACTGTTGCAAAACGTAAACAAGGTCGGTTAGTGCGTGCATTTTAGGCTTTTAGTTGATAGAGGAGCCCAAATTGTTGCCTACTGTCCCTTCCGCTAACTCAGATAAAAAGCGCTGTACCAACTCAAATACTTCTGGGCGGCCGGCTGAGACAAGTTTGATTTGACAGAAAATAGTTTCATCAGCAACTTCCAGCCTAAGGAAGAGGGTGACTTCAATAATGATAGTAGTATTAGTAGTGGCAACAGTAGAAGTAGTCGTGGTAGTAACAGTTGTAGGAGTACTTGTTGTTGCAAGTAGGGCACACATGCAATCTTACTGTAAAACAAAGCCTGAAGGAATTTATTACTCCCTTCCTGTCCCTTCTCCCTATCATATTTCGCTTCCCCGTCGTTCTTCTTCCTCCGCCTTTTTTTCGTCTGCACTCTTTATTTTCACCCTTTTTCATTCCATTTATTTACTCCATTTCCACCCCTTTTGTTTCATTTTCCATATTTTCGATTAGGAGATTGCACAGTGAGCGAAATCCAGGGTAAGTCGCGGAAAGCATGATTTGTATAAAAATTCATTTGAGACAGTAGAACCTTCTGCTATGTTAAAAGGGAAATAAGCATGGTTTCCGATGGAGCCATTAAGAAACCTTAAGAAATGCGATCATACTAACGCTACTTTTGCGATCACACTACTAGAATTACGGCTTGGGATTGTGACATTACTAATGCAAAGGCGACTAGTTTTTCCGTCAGTACTAGTGTTACTGTTTCTATTGGCATGTCTTTTGCATCTCCCGCTATTCGTTTCCTTAACTGTTCGTGGACTACGGCCTTTACTTGTCATTTCATGACGTTATACCACTGTTGAGTTAAAAATGATCTGCATTGAATGAGGAAAATTCTTCAAACGACTCATTTCTCCACCTGCACGACACAGGTATGCCTTGTGAACTGGTACGTTTCGTCGTCCCTTGGTTATTATTAAATTCTTGAATCATTCGAAGGAAAGTGCCGGTCAATTGTTCTCACTAAGGCAACAGGGCCTTTTCGTGTTATTTATGCTTTTTTGCTGTATACGCTTTCACTGCATATTTGCTATCTCGGATGGTTCTTTAAATTAGATGTTTTACTTTAGAAAAAGAGTCCAGCTAGTTTTCGGTCTCAAAAAGTGTTGCTGTGGGTTTCTTCGATGACCAAATAATCATGCACATTTATCTGGGTTTACAGACATGCGAATCGAAGGATGAAAGACTCGAGATGGAAAAGACTCAAATGTTCTTCCAGAAAAAGTGGCCCAGGAGGTTTCTGCGTTTTGCTAATCTGAAAACGGAGGTTCTTGCAAAATATACCGAAAACATAATGAGCTTCCAGTAGCAGACCACAGTATGATGGACAAGGAAATGTTGCACGGATGTGATTAAACTCTCAGCCCCCGATCATGGCATCATAGCTCAGGCGGTTAGAGCGTTGTCTTCACTCAAACTTTGCGCTTACTGTCGTGTGTATGAATCACACTAAGGGCGCAGAGTTTTTTAAAATTATGATCAGATGAATTATTAAAATCTGTTAAAACCCATAAGGTACGTGACCTATCTCATGAAATATGATAACGGAAACTGGTTAGAGAATTTTTGGACGCCTTTAGCGTGGCGCATTTTGTTCGCTCACCCACATCTTTCAATAAAATGTCCTCTTTTGTTCAGAAATTGTGTTTGCGTAATTATATCAATTGAAATATCAGCAGATTTTAGCGAAAATGGACGTTGGTTTATATTCGTGCAATTTCCTATGCTAATACATGTCCTAGACTCCAGTTACGCATCTGAGTGACTTTTTCATTGAAAGGATAATTTACCCGCGAGAATTTTAATAAATAGATTTCGCCGGACTAGAAATTTTATTTCATGTCCGATGTTGACCATGGTTATCAATCTCCTAACAAAAAGTTTATTTTAAGAAAACCAGATGTTTTATCAATTCCTTTATATCAAATTAGCAGATCTGTGCGAATTGGTACCCCAAGGTGCAATAATAACGCAGATAGAGATTCCTTCGTTTAAGTGGGCTGAAATATTTTGTCATTTGGAAAATTACACCTGATGTTACATAGGTGACCACCACGGAATGGTCATTTCTAGCTTTAAACATATAAAACAAAAAATGTCGTGTACTTCAGTTTCTGTGCATATCCTATTCAGAAATAGAGCTTGTAAAACATTTATAGTTTCAGCAAAATATCAGTATTTATATGGCCACGCTGCTGTGAATTCATACTCGAAGAACGGAGTCTAAAAGCGAGCAAAAACAGTGGAAATGGCCTCAATGTATAGAGGAAGGCATCTTTTTGCGTTTACGGCAGGAAAATATTAGTATTGCTTAGGAACGCGAAAGAAACCGTCAAGAGTGTCAAATTTTACTTGGCCTCGCCGTGCAAAATGGCAAAGTACACAGAGATCCGTCGACGGAGTGCAGTAATAAAGCACTCCCTAAAGAGGTAGCCTATTAAGGAAAGTTTTCTAACTGATCCAAGGCATGTTCGTTGGTGACTTTCGTTGTGGACAGTCGTTCTTCCCGAAAATAAAGTTTGATTTTTGAATGAGTCTCCAAATATGACCCAAACAACCATCTTCGTGAAAAGGAGCGCCTAAACACTCCGTCATTCGGTAAATGCCTTCAAGAACAATCTTCTTTTAAAGTTCTCAACAGACAGGTAATTCAGAATCTGTCTTTATGGACAATCGGGTGAAAACACTGAAAATCATGAAGTATTCAGCAATATTTCGAGGCCGATCTGAAACTCAACGTAGTCCAAAACGAAAGAAGAGTATAAATTAGTTTAACGGGAGAAAAGTTCTCTCTATAAACACAAAATAGTATTATGACAGTGGGCGCTCGCCGATCAGGTTACGGAACATGCTCGTTCCGTTGTGCCTTGGGGCTCATACTTAAACCCTCGCAGGCAGTCGCACAGCGACTAGTAGTAGACATAGATGAGATGGAGCCGACAAAGACAAGGGAGGCCGGAATGGCCATTTCTGGCTTATTAGCCGTCATCAGCCAGTCATACCCAACCCCAAGTGTGGATCACTTGAGATTCGAACCCGGGATCTTTGGTCATGGAGTTTGACGCTCTACCATTGAGCCACGGGCCCGTTGTCCTGTCGGTTGTGATCGGGAATATCAATTATGACAGTGGGCGCTCGCCGATCAGGTTACGGAACATGCTCGTTCCGTAGTATGTGTACGATCGCGTCTGTCAGTTCTATTTAAATTTATTAGGCACCGACCGGCCTCATGGCATATCACCTTATGAAAACTTTTGTTTCTACGACGTCCCCGTCGGTGGAATCAAGCAGAATCCAGTTTCTCTTGTTGAACCCCATCTCATTTAACTTTACATCGTTAATGAAATTATGAAACACAGGAAAACTGTTTTGTAATCTAAACCCAGAATGTAGACAGTTGACAAACCGTCATATATGAAGTCACACTCCTTATTAAACGATTTTGATATGCAAACATCAATGAAACGCTGTTATTAGACGTGATTTTATGTCTACTTTCCTATTTACTACGTGTTTGGTATGAGAATACATTCTATGCATCTAAAAAGGAAGTTTACTAAATTAGAGCCATTTCTGACGTTCTCGGGATATCGCGCTTTTAAAAATAAATCGACATTTCTGTACAACGCAACACTGCCTATAATATTTCTGTTACGTTTTTAATTCTTTTAAACTTGTACTTAATTAACATAGCCATTTGTCTCATGAAATAGTGTCGGTTTGCGAGTGATTGGCAATCATTCTTAAATTTCGACACATTTCATGGGTTGGGTCACGCACTGGAAGTGTTGAAATTATCCGAAAGAGGATCGAAAATATTGTGTTCACTCTCGTATTCTATCTCCTTAAGAGAGGCCGTAATAATGGACATTCGATAACTGGGGTTAATAGAAAACAAGAGGGGATCTAGCTCGAAGTCTGAAGAGGCGATAAAAAGAACAGTTTTAAGTTTTTCATAATAACTATAAAGGATGAGAAGAGAGAGACGAATGGTGAGGATGAGGTTAAGAAGAAGAAGAAGAAGAAGAGGAGGAGGAGGAGGAGGAGGAGGAGGAGGAGGAGGAGGAAGAAGAAGAAGAAGAAAAAGAATAAGAAGAAGAAGAAGAAGAAGAAGAAGAAGAAGAAGAAGAAGAAGAAGAAGAAGAAGAAGAAGAAGAAGAAGAAGAAGAAGAAGAAGAAGAAGAAGAAGAAAGAAAGAAAGAAATCGCTTTATCGCGCTGGCCCGATTGTGGGGGCGAAATAGACGCGTTCGACTGCAGCCTGGCCTGTCGGTCGATACAACTCCGAAACTTTCGATTATTAACTGCCCACCGCTTTTCGACGACTTTCAAAGGCTTCGTGCCTGAAAGAGATGGATGGCTCATAGTCCGCCCCGCGGAAAGTTCAAATCGATGAGTGCCACCCGCACGTGGCTTAACGCTTACCGCTGCAGCGGCGATTTGCGCGTTGGACCTTAACCGAATGCAGGCTGTCTTGCCGAGTGTTCCTTTCAGGTCACTAGGGTGTGACATTGTGGTAACAAATAATAAGCCTAAAATGATCATTTTTCTCTGTCCTTGTCAGGTCACACCTCGAATAAGGAGATATCTGGAATCAAAATGAAGGTGAGAAGGAGGGAAAAGGGAAGGGGGAAGGAGACGGGGGAGATTGATAAGATGGTGAAACAAGAAAAAAACAGAAAGGGAGGAGGAAGAAATGGAGATAAGGCAGGGGTTGATAAAACAAAAGGTAAAAATAGGATAAAATGCGGGCTTCAATTAGGCAGGAAGTAAGGTTAGAGAATAAGTTTCGAGTCCGTAATCACTGAGTCTCTGATGGAAATAACGTACGACTATTTATGATCAGCCATAATTACGGGTCAAACTCGTTTGTCTGTCGCAGTGGCTATAAACTTACAAATTTTTGGGTAGGTAATCGTCTGGGTAAATTCAACACTACAGTGCATGTCATGAGATTTTAACTGAAATTCTGAAATGAGTTTTCAATTCGGAAATATTACTTAGATAGGGCTGTCATCTCACATGATGTTAAGATATTCCGGTCACGTCAGAGTGCCGGCTTCCGATCGGGCACCTTATCGACCGCCTGCGTAAACTGCACTCCGTCAAAATTACTATTTACTTAGCATGAATCATTACCATTGATTTTTAATACCCTTATAAATACAAATATATTTTACGGAAAATATGTACAAAAATCGTCATTTGGTAGTCATTTGCGCCTTCTTCAAATTTTTATACTTGGAGAAAGAGTACCTGTCGGTTTTAAAAAGGCTTCTAATTATGAGATTTTTTAAGACCGTGAAATGTCCAATCACACAGCACCGCATCAGCACATTCGTTAATGCTGCTTATAAGGTGGGCAGCGTAGTCTAGATTTATCACAAAATTTTATGAGCCATATTTGTCCTCTCCATAAGGGTATACAGAAGTGTATCCTTCTCCTTGCGCGAAAAGTATACAGCTTGTAGTTTTGAAATGCTGAATCAGGAATTGAGAGAGATTTCTAAAACCGAAAGGTACTCTTCCTTCAAGTGTAAAATTCGAACTAGACGTAATTTGCCACCAAATGGGTGACACGTATTTCCGGTAACTTATTATCAGGTCAATATAGTTACATAGAAATTGAAAAAAATGAAAAGTTTACAGGGTATATAAGTGACTCAGTGGCCATTAACACAGATCGTTCCTACACCAACCGCACGACGAGGTTGACATGTTATAATCATTGGGGCAAGGGGATTAATATCGGCTGTGAGTGGTGTTTGTAAGTGGTGTACGGGGAGTACACATCCCTGTCATCAGGGGGTTGTGACGCCGAGTAATAAGGGTATTAAAAATCAATAACAAAAATGTATACTACATGAGCAGTCACCTGTTTGAGGGATATAGTTTATGCAAGCGGTTGATACGACGCTCATTGAAAAGCCGGTACCCCGACGTGACTGGAATATCTTCACATAATGCGACATTATAATGAATATTATAATCATACTAAGGTAGTCTTTTCGAATTGGAAACACGGTTCGGAATTTCAGTTAACACTTCATGAGATGCGTAGACCAACGCATCCGTCGATTTCGCCTCAGACAGGCCAAAATGCTGATAAAGCCAACAATCTTGGGCCGGAAGCAAAGTTTCTATCCACTTTTCTCGCCCCCATCGGTCTCGCCGGAAAGAAGGGAGCATGGGACGTGGCCTTTCACGCAAAAGTTTTTGGAGATCGTCTGGTTACCTCATGATCGCCCGCACCAATTAAAATTTAGATTTCCAGCTTTCTGCAGCTCGTTCTTTCCCTCTGCGTCCGTAACAAGATTTTACTGTAACCGATGCACTGTCGCCGAATTTAACCTCTCGGTTCAAATTCGGCTGTCACTACGTTCTGTCAGGTGCCAAAAGTCTGCTTTCTTTTTGAAGAGCAAAACCACAGCGGGTAAGAAGATGACTGTTCAAAGCCTTGTCTTAAGTTTGTCAGCAAATTTGAGTCTTCTACTTAACCACAGCATAACAGAGTTGATACAAAATCGCTACTTTGTGTCGTAGCACGTGTTTAGGCTAGAAGTAGGGTAAGCTTTCCCATGTCTGGCTCGACCGTCGTTGCCGATGCTATCCATCGTGTGCTCCACAGCACGGTGAGAGCAGACACGGTGACTAAGGCGTGGGTTAGTTTGTAATGATGGTGGACTTACGCAGCATCTACCGCACTCTCTCCTCCCCACCTGGACACGGTGTGAAGACAGAGTCAAGAAAAGCGGAGGTCGGAGGGGAAGCAGGTGACTGACAGGGCCAGACCTGCACCTAGACGTGCCACCACACTCCTTGGTCCACAGCGTACACCGACCAGGATTTTATACCACGGCATGAGAAGAGGGAATGGCATGGATCGCAAATGGCCCGGAGTGAACCGCCAGTTCGGCCTAGCACACTCTCCAATGTTGGCATTTAGTTGACTTTCACAACCCCGCTCACACTTGCGGATTCCGTTCTAGCGCCTGTTTGCTCAGGGGCATCGTTAAAGAGCTTTATGCAAACGATCGGCCGGAATTTTAAATAAAAGGCCAAACTCGTTGGCCTTGGACTGATCGATTTTTGTCTTTTTTGTCGTCTTGGACTTCCGGCCATTGTTTGTGAATCTTGGCGGCCTCCTGCGTTGTGTCATCACCTCAATGGGGATCGGTTGCACTCGTGTTCCCCTTTCGGGCGGATAAGTCGACAGCCATGTTTGCTCGGTATTTTTAGGTTCCTTATGACCGTCTTGTCCTGGTCATGGCGTACGTAGCGGCGAGGGACTTTATAGGCCGCAGGTTGCTTTTTGAAAGCTACAGATGTGGCCACTTTCTCAGATGTGAGTTCTTGTCTAGTCTTCGAGTTGGCAGTTTGTGTTCGTTTAGGTAAGTCTGCGATTTCTGCCCGGTTTCCCCAACGTATTTGCGGTCTCCATCGTTACAACGGTCGACTAATTCCACCGTTCATTTAAAATTCCGGTCGATTTTTGCATAAAACCTTTTAGTAGTGGAGAGCCGGCAAAGCCCTCCGAAAAGTTGGCTATGCCATTCCTGTGATCCGGTGAGTCCTACACATTTCTCAGATTGTCGACCCAGATCTCTTACGTTTGCTCAACGATTACTGTCCGACCTGTTTTGATGCTCACTCAAAGATATGCATGGCATGACGGACAATGGGACACGCAGTTATCTCAGGATTGATTGCTCTATGAGAACTACTCACGTCTTTCTATGGGAGGGAAGACAAAAAAGGCCTTAGTTCTTCCTGCTTCAAGCCGACGTCCTCCTCCCTTCGGCTGCCCCCACCTGCAAAGCTTGCTAAACTGTCTACCAGGACATCTCATCTGACCTCAGGTCCTGACAACATGTGCCGGCTCTAGGTTGTCCCAAGAGTCTGTAAAGGGACTCACGCAAATTGCCTGAAACAACAGTATCTGCCAACGAAACGGAGGCCAAGGCAATTGACGCCGTTGATTTTTACGCCTAGGGACAGAAGCCATTGGACAGAGACGGTGTTAGTCACTGCGCCAGCCAAACCTAGGATCATGGTAATAGTGAATGAGGACTGTATATGCGGGTAGTTCTGCAAGGAGAGTCCCACCCAAACTCACACGCAGGTCTAAGAGACAGGTCTGTACGGCTCAATACCGTCAAAGTACCAAACTGCGAACTTCCTCTATGTGTAAATGACGGCTAAGCACGCATTACGAGTCAGATTTATTATTGACCAACTGAATGGAGACTTAAATAAAAACTCCTGACTTACTGACCAGCTTCATTTAGCCATATCCTAGATTTGGGCCGGAAGGCCCAGAACTTGAAGCCAAGCCAAAGCAGAACAACAGCATTACTTAACCCAACCTGATTATGTTTCACGTTACTTGATTCTTTTACATGGCCTGTAATATAAACTGTCATAGAGACATAGCGTGAGTTTGCAGCATAGTCGGTGGAACACTGAGCCCTAAGTTCATATCTCGGTTCTGTGTCGCTCGTCTGTTCGACGTGGCGACAGCGGCCGAACACTCCTTGCCAGTTCACTGACTCGACGCATGTGGCTCGGAGTTCCGCCTGCTGTCATCGCGATACCGGTCGATATTTTTGCCTTCAACGAGTGGCCACAGCCAGACAAACTTCAGGCGTACATATGCACCTCACATTGTGGCAAGACGACGCCAACGTCTGGCTACCTGTTTGGCTGAACGACTACCGCCGCTACTTCCTGAACCGCTTGCGCGCTCCTTTGCTGTAGTAACGGTTCTCCTATGAATCCCTATGTCGCTGTTTTTTTGATTTGGTGGAAATTCACGATGTCGGCTTTCATCCTTCGACAACGGTTCTACTCGTGAAAATGTTTAATCCAAAGCAGAGATGGAGAAACAGATGTCCCAACGAACGTCTGAGTTAGAAAAGACAATATGAAAGTCAAAACAGACGGCATTCATCGTTCTAGAATTGTTTGCGTTTTCATTGCATATCTCTGCGAATTGCGTCCAGCGTATACTAAATCATTTCGCTGAAAGTTAAGCCCGACAAATATGCACTCAAAGACAGCCCATAGACCCGGAAGTGAGAACCTGGACCACAAATATCCAGTCCTTCCTCAGAAATCCCACGATGCTGGTGACGATGACGATGGGCGCCACAACCGGACGGCTTATGCAAGACTACGATTGACTCGCAGTGCGAGTCTGAAATAGGGGAATATCGACTTTTCGCCGGGGAAGGATTTGTGTAAC